AGAGTGCTAATCTTTCGAGTACAACTGATGAGTTTCGAGTACAACTGATGAGTCTCGAGTACAACTGATGAGTCTCGAGTAGGTGAAGGTTCGGCTTGCAGTCACATGGTTTCCGTCTAGCTGCGAAAACGTTACAAGGTTCAACATGAAGCACACACAGCGAGAGAAACAACGGGCCAAAAGGACATTGCACAACCGATGCAGGTACACAATCCAGCGTCCCGGATTGCATCACACTTCTCATCAGGCGTCTTCGTTGGCCTGAGTCCTGATGAGAAGCCTCAAGCCCCCTGCTGAAAAACCGAAAGGGTGGTGACAGGGCATTCTGTCACTCCGCACACACACGCCCCTCAATGAGGGGCGAGGATTCTCCTTTTCTGCAGGAAGATCACATGCTCAAACCCGTGTCCCTATCGTTGACCAAAAAATCCACCGCGGCGAGGGGAACGAGAAACAGCCCTAAACCGCTCAGAAGACGGGAACGAGAGATCACCACGTTGAGCAGTGCGAGTGTCGCCATAGAGGACTGAAGCGAGTTGTGAAGCAGCCTGGCGATCACCATGAGAAAACGGGGTGGCGTAGGTGAACGTCTCCTCAACTGGAATGGCATCGGAATTCCGAACTTGACCAAGAGATTGATCATGCGAATGATGAGTTGTGAAGGACTCCATTCGAGACAGAATGCGCTGGTGTCCCTGATGCTGCCAGTCGCGGATGTCCCATGCCTGACCGTGCTCACCAGTGAACCCATTGGGATCAGTCACCCGCTGCCATTCCCGAAAAGAATTGTCTGGTAGATCAGGTACAGTTTCTCCGCGGTGCCATCGCTGAGGCTGTCCTGGAGTGTAGATCCGCACCCACTCCTGATCCTGCCAGACCGAGTATTCGAGCCATGGGTGCTGCTTCGAATCATCGATGTCCATGTCGAAGTAAGAGGCAAGGCGTGTCGCGGGCTCCGATCCAGCTGATAGAGTAACAGGCACCATGCACAACCATGTACAAGCAACAACCAAGCAAGGTAATGAAAGCGTGAAAACCACCCATATTTTGTACACTACCCACTCGCGTGCATCTAGTCCTCAGTCAGCTCGAAGATGGGACTCGCCTTGTCTTTGCCGCTGTCGGAAGGATTGACAGGCCGGTATGGCTCGGAGACCCCAACCGTCTCCGATGGTGTGATTCCACGTGATGCACGTGCTGGTTGATGAGGTTGAGAAGCGTGACGTGCGCGAGCTGTCAGTTGTTGAGAAATCCCCTCTTGGAGACGAGTCAGTTCTTCGGTAGAGAAATCCGCCGCATCCGAGGACCTGAGGATCGCTTCTAACAGCTGCGGTGACATACTCAATGCCGCGGATTGCGTGGCCACGCTGTGATGATCAGGAAAACACATAGAATCAAAGTCATGACCAGCTTGAGGGGCAGCGACTCTCCGATAGCCCTCTGTGGCCCAGTCTCTTTTGTACCACATGGTGACTTTGAGCTGCTCACCGACTGAGTCCGGGTTGGGAGCATAGAACTCCCTCCACTCTCTATACGTGTGCGGTGGAGGTGGAGCATCATGTTCTTCATGTGGTGTCCATGATCCCGGATGAAAGATCTTGACCCACTGGGCATCTGGTTGTTGAGGATCCGGACACCATTCCAGCCACGGCATGACAACGCAAACCCGGAAAGACAAATTGATAGGTGTACGGCTGCAGACAACAATTACTGAAAGAGAAACAACTGCCACAATGCAAGAAATCACTTTTGCAGCAATGCACGGCTCCGGTATCGAAGACAATCTTCCGAATCGAATTGAACTGAACAGACTCCCCAGGAAGGCGAGGACGAGCATCAGCCATCATCTGAGTTGGAGGGTGCCGATGAAGAGGTCAATCCAGCATACATGAGGTCCGGTGCGCCCGAAGCGAAAACTGGCCGCGCAATGCTAGGGTGTGGGCGACCCAGACGTTGGTATCCCCTGGTGACCCAGTCTCTATAATGCCAAGTATAGCAGGATGCATAAGATACCGGTTGCGAAACAGCACCTGTATTGGTGCCGCCTGTGCTTTCCCTCGGCCAATACACTTCGAAGTGGTAGACCTTGCGCCATTCCCGATAGGTGGTTGAGTCATCCGGGGCTGGTCCCAAGGTGTTCGCGGCGACTGGATGCCACGGACCCGGTACATAGATCCGAATCCATTCTACACTCGTGTTTGCTGGGCCATTGACGATGTCGTAGTCAAAGTAGCGAGGCAGGACCCATCGTGCTGTGCCATACACTGTACAATTGAACGTTTCAACCAGGCAAGCCGCTCGAAGTCATAAAGGAGAGCGGCGAACACATGGAGACGGAACGCACAACACCAAGCAAGACAACCCAACATGGAATCGCATACAAAGCAAGCACAACCGCGTCATTTATCCGACATGCTACTCAAGTGTCACTCCGAATCGTTCCAAGGATCATAGAATGGTGGTGGCGACGGCTCTCGCCACGCCCCATCCGGCACCGATGAGCCCACCGAGGAATTGGCGTCTGCATTCACGAGCATCGCGAGTCCAATGGCTGGTAAAGGAGCTCCAAGTCGTTGATACCCTCGTGTTTGCCAGTCTCGGTACTCCCACACGTGGTAGGACACATAGGAACAGGGCGTGACTATGGGATCCGTTGTTGTGCCTCCGGTGCTGTCTTCGGACCAGTACACTTGGAAGCGATATGACCTGCGCCACTCCCGATACGTGGAAGCGTAGAGTGGGTCCAGCACTGGAGCATCATCGGGAACGGGTCGCCACATGCCCGGTGAGTAAATTCGAATCCATTCCACTCCTCTGTCGATCTGGTACTCGAAATATTGAGGGTTCATAGCGGCAAGACAGGTTCTCGCGCGGCCGCTAAAAGCAATCGAAAATCTGCGGCGAAGATACACATGCAATGACAACCGCACACAGCTGAAGGAAAGCAAGGCAACTTTTCAAACTCAAGGTGAGACACAGCAGCGAGGTTTGTAATATACGACTCCTAAGCTTCACCGCCGTTGATGCCGCGCACACCTGCAATGGTAATGTCCTGGTCGTCTACGATCACAAGGGGAAAGACATTTCCGCCCATGGCGCAGGATGGCATGACAGTAATGCTTGCAATTTGCCGATGGGGACAGCGATGGACGGCCAGCACGTTTGGAGGGGAACACTGTAAAGGGCCGCCGAGATCTCCGCGGTGTCGAAGCGGATGCTGTCCGAGATCGTTTGGAGGAGCGCCCTGGACTGCGTAGCTCTTCATCACGGGAATGGTCAGTGCTGTAGATCGAGCGGCGTGTGCGCTGCGATTTCGAAGTAGCAGGGCAGGATTGTCCGCGAGGAGCTGAGATCGAGGGGCTCCGTACTGAGGGCATAAACTGTGGGTGTAGAATCACCGGTGGTGGTGGCGGTGGAGGAGGCGGAGGTGGAAGAAGCAGTGGGAAACTTGGTGGGGGCGGAGGTGACGTAGTCTGCCGAATGGGTCTGTCAAGTAGAGCTCCCGGTCCGTGAAATTGTAACCACGTCGGCTGCGCTCCATGGGTCCAGGTAATGTACGTCTGTACGACTTGTTCCGACATGATTTGAGCAACTCAGTCATGAATTCACTTCACGTCAGCGGCAACACCCAAAAAGCGGCAAGCAAGCAAATTTCATGTGATCAAGAAGGACTACAATCCCAACCGTCACAACAACTTGCAGCGCTAGTCGAATACGCCGCCACGGCCTACCATTTAGTCCTCCGGCGGTCGCTGTTGCATTTGATGACCGGGTTCCTAGCCGCGAGCCTCAAGTTGCTGATAGACCTTCCATGCCTGCTTGACTTCCTCAATGGGCTTCTGAAGGAACCGAGCAATGGTCTTGTAGGTGGGCCTGGAATCCTTGTCTTTCTTCCGTCGCACCATCTCATCCAGCTCACCCTGTGTCCATGCCGTGAAAGGTTCACGGTGTGCATTGCGAAGTGCAATGGTGAATTCTTGTAGAAGTTCCCGAGGTCCATGAACCACCGTAGGAGACGGTCGGAACGACGAGGCACCTGGATGTGGACGCACTGAGCCATCAGAATCCGAGTCAGGTGTCGTAGGCGTCATCTGTCCTGGCTCTCGGCCACCGTGTGGGGCTAAGGGAGCAAGCGGCCGAGGTGGTGGCAGGTGATCCAACATCGATTCAGGCCGAAGACCAGAATTGTTGTCAGCAGCATCCCGATGTGCCGCACGA